GGCGCTAATACACCCCAATATGTTTAACATGGGAAACATTATAAGATATAAAGACTTACTAACAGATATGGGGGAGTTGAAAACCAAACAACAATTAGAGGAACAAGGAAAAAAGATGGATTGGTTCATGAGAACGCAAATACAATCTAGATATGAAAAATATGTTAAAATAGATGGTGTTAATTTGGGGACAACACAGTTAGATGAAATACTCACAGGAACGGAAGAAAAATGGATTAAAAAAATGTACAGTTATCTACTACATATGGAGTTAGAGGAGGAACAAGTGAAAGAGACAATGATAAAATGGACAAGGAATTTTGGATACACAATTGAATTAGATAGATGGCAGCAACTATGGGAAAGAAACTATAAATTGACAATGGCGATTGCGTATAAAGAAAATATGTACAAAATGTTTTATAGATGGCACATGTCTCCAGAAAGATTAGCTAAGATGTTTAAGGACAGGTCTATGAAATGTTGGAAATGTCATCAGATACCAGGTTCCTTCTACCATATATGGTGGACGTGTGTAGAAGCTAAAACTTATTGGAATATAATTAGAACATGGATAGAAAAGATGATACAACAACGTATAGAACTAAAACCAGAAATATTCCTGTTGGGTATTCTACCAGAGAAATACAATAAAGAGAAAACATATTTAATTATTCAAATAATCACAGCAGCCAGGATTGTGTTTGCACAAAATTGGAAAGCACTGAAAGCCCTCCCAGAGGGAGAGGTGATTGGGAAAATACTGGAATGTGCAGAAATGAATAGACTAACAATGACAATTAAAGATAAGACAGAGTCAGACTACTATGAAATCTGGGGAACTTTTTATGATTGGCTGGAAAGAGAATACGGTTAAAAGATAGCTAACATCAATTTAGATGGAAGAAGGAGCAGATAAGGAGGAGACCCAGGTGACACAGTATTGAATAACTGGAGGTTGTATAAATATTTATAGAAGTATATACCGAGAAGGTTAGATAAATAGAAGTATTAATGTAAGAGAAAATTAATCTTATTGTATATAATACACATAGGGAAATTTGGAGAGAGGAGTTGCTCGGATATTACCCCTGAATTGTATCTGAAGAGGGATGAGAGGGAAGAAAGGAGAGGAGAGAGAAAAGAGTAAAGGAGGGGAGAAGGAAGTAGGAAGGTTGGAGAAGAGAAGTGGGGAGGTGAAGGAAAGAGCAGAGGAAGAAGAGGGAAGTAGGGAAGAGAAGAAAGAGAGAAAGAAGGTAGAGAAGAAGGAATGTGGATACAGTGAAAGGGGAAATGGGCGACACTAAAAGTCATGTGTATGTATTTATTTCATTTTATCAAAAGTATCTTATATATGAATGTAAAAAGAATGTATGTTAACATCTGATAAATATCACAGTATATGTATGGGGGAGAGTTTGGAAAAATAAAAAATTATTAAAAAAAAAAAAAAAAGAAATCACTAGGTATGAAGACATTTTGGTTTCAGATCCAAAACAAACAAACCATCATGTTCTGGAACATCTGCGGAACAAATTTGGCTGTGGCTCGAAAGAGACAAAGCCAGAAACATTTTGGTTCTTCCAGATTTCTGAGGAAATAAAGATATGGTTGATACAAAAGTGATTGATTTTACAGACTGATTTGCAAAATCTCTTCAACAATCACCTTCTCAATGCCATAAGGATTTGCTACTGTTTTACACCAGATTTTCTCTCTTCTTTGCTGCTCCTTGACCTATAATTCCCTTTCAAGTCGCACAGAATTCTTTTCATGCTATCCCCATGAATTGTTGTTGTTAGTTGCGAAGTCGTGTCTGACCCATCGCAACCCCATGGACAACGTTCCTCCAGGCCTTCCTGTCCTCTACCATCTTCTGGAATCCATTTAAGCTCACGCCTACTGCTTCTGTGACTCCATCCATCCACCTCATTCTCTGTCGTCCCATTCTTCTATTGCCCTCAATCTTTCCCAGCATTAGGCTCTTCTCCAGTGAATCCTTCCTTCTCATTAGATGGCCAAAGTACTTGAGTTTCAACTTCAGGATCTGGCCTTCTAAAGAGCAGTCAGGGTTCATCTCCTCTAGGACTGACCAGTTTGATCACCTTGCAGTCCAAGAGATTCGCAGGAGTCTTTGCAGGATTCTGAATGCATTCAGGTGATTCCAAGCATAAGCCCGTGTGAAATGTCATTAAGGTACAGGACTAGGGCAGGAGCCTTAGAGAAATGCAGGTTTAAGTCCACTGTCAGCCTTAGCAACTCACTGAGTAATTTTGGGCCACTTGCTCTCTCTCAGCCCAAGTATTTCACAGGATAGCAACTGCTCATATAAAAAAGATCTCCATATCAGATCCCTTGAATTCTTGAAGAAAGGCAAGATGTGTAGATCATAAAACAAAGGAAAAAAATGAAAGAATATTTTGGCAAGGGTACACGGGATGAGAGAGCATCCAGGGAAAATCTCCAGGTAAAAAACTATCTGAAAGGAGCTGATTTATAATCTGGAGTTTTCTTGGACTCACAGCTCCTGCTGGATCAGTAGGTAGAAGCAGTGACCCTTCTAGGAACAAGAAACATTAGACATTGTACTTATTTAATTCAATGTATAAGAATGCCTTCAAAGTGCTCTTTGGTTGATATACTATGTCTACTACCTCTATCCTATTCTATACCCAGAAACCTCAGTGAAAAATTAGCTGGGTATGTGCTGCTGGGACGGCCTGATATTGTCATATAACATCAATTTTACTTTCAAGCACAACTTAAGGCCCTGGTAATAAAAGTTTCACACGGTTTGGGACTTGGGTATCTGTGAGACTGCTTGCTGCAAGTTAAATCTACTGCCTAAAATGTTTTTGGAAAGTTGCTAATTACCTACAGCTACAGGATAGAAAACCCAGAAGCAAACATTTCTGCTGGAGCAACCCTCCTGTAACATTTGTTATCTAAGAAATAAGAACAGCATATTTGTTGATATTCAGAAAGTTTAAATAGGTTTTCAGGTATTGAAGAATTAATGACTTGTGTATCTAAGGATGTGTAATGAGTGTTATTCGTAACTGATTGATTTGACATTAATCATATTTCTATCTCGCTACTATCAAGATTTCAGTGGTTAGTCTATATACTTATTGCTCTCATTGATGTTGAATCTGCTCAGTACATAATACATCTTTTGTAAGACATTTAGATTTGCTTGACTGAAGTAGCATAAAAGCTCTAGCAATAAACCAGAATCACTGAAAGCACAAACTTTCTGTGCAAACTAATTTTTAGCAAACTTTGCTATAAAATTATCGGCAAGGTATTTCTTCTCTGTATCTAACCCCACTATCCTCCAAAGGCATCATGTTTTACCTCTTCTTCTACATTATTCTGGGTTAGACATCTGACCTTCAAGAACTGACTGAGTTGTTTCAACTCAATGAAAATGGAGAAAGTTATCTTTAGTAATTAATTCCTTTTGCCATTCTTTGCCATATGCTTCTACAGCCATCCTTGGATATCCTTTTAAAAAAATCTCAGGTTCAAAATTAAAAATAAAATAAATACCTGAAAAAAGTATAGTTCTATTAATTTGCAACGTATTTCCATAGTTGTAGAGTGGGTGACTTTCTGACTGTGCAGTGTACCATCTATGACCTGCCAGCACTTACTTGCCAAGGAAGATGTATGCACCATCCAAAGGATGAAGAGGAGTGGAGGGAGGGGGTATATCCATTTCACTATGAAGAGGAAACAAATGTAGCTGACAGTTGCAAGTTCAGGGTATTTAGGGAAATTTATTTCTAAATATACGTTTACAACATTGTTCATATTTTATGAGACTTCCTGGAGCCATCCAGAAGCAGTATTACACCAGGAGCAATGTACAAGACGGAAGACTTTACGCTCTGTAGTTTATTTTTCTTAGGGGGCAGAGCAGCTACCGTAGTACAAGAGACAATACATCATAAATGGGATACTGATGTTAAGGACCCCAGGTGCATGCACTGCTACAAGATTATTTTTTTAATGAGCAAACCTGATGTGCAACTTTGAAATGGTAAAAACATATTTCTGAATTAAATTATAAATATTTGTTAGATGCCTCACACCATTATGAAGAGGAGGACAGCTCCTGTTATATGTTTGAACTAAAGTCCCAGAAAATTACCCTTTGGGCCCAAGGGACTTCCCATCTGAGAATTAACTTTTAAAGATTGCACTGAGGGACTTCATCCCTGAACAGCGGTCCTGTTATCAATTCAAAGTGGTAAAAATAACTATTGCTTCCCAAAGACAAACAGGAGAAAATGCAAAATCAAAAACCAAGTAATTGAAACTGTTCCTCATAAACCAAAAGTGACAAGAGATTTGGGGGTAATTGTAGCCAGTTCTTCCACTGCACACAATTATTAAATCACCTTCTGTAGGAGAAAAGATGACAGAACCCGAAGGTGGGGTTAAGAGAGGAATCAGCCTAGAATCTCTATCAAGACATAAGAGAACTAAGTCCAACCCCCCTTGAGTGATGTTGACCCTTATCTAAGCAGGTGCCAGTGGTAATTTGGGAAGATTTCTGTACCTAAGCTTTTGGCAATTAATGAATTTGACCACTTTCTTATGCACAATGACAAATGAATTCCCCTGTAACTTTCGTATTCAACATTGCTTCTTTGTACAGTGGTACCTTGATACTCAACTGCTTTGAAACTCATCAAATGTGGTACTTAATGTATTTTGACACAAACATTTTGTCCTGGTACTCATTGCTTGCACAAGCTAGAGTCAGTGTCGGCTGTCTTATGACTCACTTACATTATTCCTTATGGGAAAAATTTGGTTGGTACTCGTTTTTGGTACTCATTGTGCCTTCCAAAACCAATTAACAAGTACCAAGGTATAATTATAAAGTAAAAAAAATATAAGCATTCTTCCAAGTATCAGGCTTAGATACAGTCAATATTAATATTTTCTTCCTTCCACTCTGCAGAATATCTCTCATTTCCATAGAAATGTAATTATACACTCCTCACAAATTATTTTATTCAAAGTAGCTTATCCCACTTTACAGTAATATCATACGTTTGCCAAGGTTATGCCATCCAAGAGAACATAGTAGAAAGATGCCAGATCTGTTAAACAAAATAATGCCCACGACTGTGCCTGGGAGAAAATTCTCATGGTTTCACAAGAAACCTTCCATAGTTCATGCTGTATAGCTTCTTTTGAACTGGAAACATCATAGATTGAAACTGGCATCTTCTGTATGTAGAGCATGACTTTCACGAATATAGTCCTTACCAGAACCAGCTGGCTACACTTCTTCATGTAATCTATACCAAACTTATCTAAAATAGATTTTTAAAATTAAGTACAAGTCATGTATACAATAATCAGGGGTTTAAGCCAAGATGCTCAGCTGACAAGAACAGACATATCCCATCCATGGGAAACAATTTTAAAAAAAATATCTTAAACAACTTTCTTGCCAGCCAAATATTAAGGAAACAACAGTTTTATCAGTAGCACAATAAAACCAACCCTAAACTGTCCAGTGCCTCAAACAATCAATCAATGGAAAATTTCCATCATTATAAAACTGGTCAGATGCAGAAAGGAGATACAACTTGAAGCTATGAAGGCCATAGTTATCACCCAAAGTTAATGCACAAATTAAGTTTCAGCATTAAGCAGCAGATAGATTGTTGTCACTTGGTCCCACCAGGTTGCCACAAGAGAGAGAATGGTCACTTTCTTCAGTTGGATCCAAGCTTCTCAGGATCTCCAATTTTTTTATCACTTGGAAGAGACTCCCTTCTCAGGGAAACCACTATTACGGATGCATAGTCCAACATTTGCAGATACCTACTAGACTCAGCCCACATGAATTTGACAAACGTCTTCTGATTTTGAGGCAGTTCCCACAGTCGGAAACCCTGGTGCTTGGTGGGCACCCAAGTCACCTGTCTTCACAGGCATCCATGAATTAGCACCAACAAGATGAGAAACAGGTGGTAGTCCTGCTGGTGAGTGGGAATGGTTCTGGATACACAATTCTCCCATAGCACCAGCAGGAGGAGGCAGTGCAGGACTCTGAAAAGATGATAGTCCAGGTGCTGGAATTTGTGCGTTAGGATACTGCATGTGCATGGCAAGCAACGGAGGAGGGGGGCTGTGATAGTTCTGAGTGGGATAAGAGCCTGGCACTGGATTTAACCTGAAAGAGACAAAAGAGAGATGTGTTAATACAGGGTTAAAGGTTAATACAACCTTTCTGGATTGGCGGCCCGGTGGGAGAGCGAGGGGCAGGCGCCTTATGCATGCATGGGCCAACGTGAACATGGCTACACACATGCGCACGAACAGGCCGCAAGCATGCATACCACGTAAACGGGGCTGCAAGCATGCGCGTGAGGCTCTCAGCGATACCGGTGCCTGTATGAGGCTTGTGCCACCGCCAGGCTCGCACCGATGCCACCATCAGCATGAGGATCACGCCACTGCTGCCCCGTGAGACTTGCGCCACGGCCTGCAGCAATGCTGCCACTAATGCAAGGCTCAAGCCACTGCCCACTTGGCACTTGCAGCACTGCCGCCTGTGGAAGGTTAGTGGCAATGCTGCTGCCTGCACGTGGCACGCTACCGCCCATGTGCCGCTAGCGGCACTGCTGCTGCCTGCGCAAGGTTCGTGGCAACGCTGCCGCCCGCATGGTACTAGTGGTGCTGCCGCCACCTGTGCAACACTCAGGGCAATGGTGGCACGAGGGGGGGTGAGCTACTGATGCGGCCCAGTGACCAAGAGGCCACAGCCCGATAGTGGGCCGCAGCCCATGTGTTCCTGTTCTGGGAACAAATTGAGAAATGAATACTCAGTTCCTACTAACAGCTGTCCTGGACGTGGAGTTCTAAAGGAAAGCATATCTAAAGAACGGTTGCTGGGATTGGGTATGTCTACTTTAATGAAAAGAAGGACTAGGGGTGACATGATAGCAATGTTCCAGTATCTAAGGGGCTGCCACAAAGAAGAGGGAGTCAAGCTATTCTCCAAAGCACCTGAAGGCAGGACAAGAAGCCATGGATGGAAACTAATCAAGGAGAGAAGCAACCTAGAACTAAGGAGAAATTTCCTGACAGTTAGAACAATTAATAAGTGGAACAACTTGCCTCCAGAAGTTGTGAACGCTCCAACATTGGAAGTTTTTAAGTGATAGGACAATAATTTGTCTGAAAGGGTATAGGGTTTCTTGACTGAGCAGGGGGTTGGACTAGATGACCTCCAAGGTCCCTTCCAACTCTGTTATTTTATTCTATTCTACTTTATTTATTCTCTTGGGAGAAGGAAAGCATCAATTGCTTTTCATACAAGAAAGCTATCAAAGAAAAGTCAACCTGACTAAATGTTAATTTATGGCTTACAATTAATTTCTGTACTCAAAGTCTCCTTTTTTGGGAGATTTAATATTTATTAATATTAAATTTAATTTTAATAAATATTAATAAATTAATGACATGACAGAAGCAGACAGGGAAAAAATCTTTATGTCAAAGGGACAGGCATAAATCAAGCTACTTCCTAAAATTCAGATAAATTGTTATATAGGGGTTTTTTTTTCTTTCCAAAGCTTTTACCATTATTAGTGTGTTCTTGCATAGCACTGCCTTTTATGATTTCACTTCATTTGGCAAAAAAAGAGCTTGCTACTCAAAATAATACATCCTTGCAATCTTTGTAAATAATTCTACAGTCCTTTTTGACATTCTTATACTATAGAGCAGGGGTGTTAAACTGCCGGCCCGCGGGCTGGTTGCATCATGCAGAGGCCGCGCCCACCCCAGCTCCCGCAATGCAAAAAAAGTTGCGATACGTCACAACACATCATGTGACACGGCGAGTTTGACACCCGTGCTCTATAGTATCCTAAACTAAAAAACTTATTATAGCTGACCTCTATTTTTCTAGTCCCATATGTTATTGACTAAAGATGATCACAAATCTTCTTTGGTCAATAATATTCCTAGCCTGAATTTTCAAAGGTAACGTTTCCACTATGTACTTTAGCTACAGAAAAACTAAGGTCCGAGCTACTACTAGTTGTGATACTTTTCCTTAAGGATCATTAAGGCACCATTTCTGAAATTTTATGTATAGTACCTGGACCCATACTTTTAGTAGAACTTATTTCTTTGTAATTTTTAGACACATAACAGAAATTTACAAAATAAAACATTATATCTAAGAGGAAAACGTATGTCAAAACTATGTGTTAAGATTAAAACTGTCAATATTTAACATTAACACATTCAACAGAATGTACCTTTATCTCAGATATACATATTTTATATAGTGAGGCTACAACTTCTCTTATTTACAAGCTCATATAAAAGATAATTTTGATCTAAATGTAGGATTAAAAACAGAATTATTTTTGAGCTGCATCAATTAACCAAGTCATCAAATTTTAAATTCTTTGAAGTTACTGAAACTTTGAGAAATACTGTTATTAGTAGAAAATTAAACAGTAAGCATTATGATAGCTAGCAGACTTACTTTCGATTCTGGAAAGCGCTTCTTTCTGCCAGGGATCCTGGAACATATTTTACCCCGGGAATTCTTTTCAACAGCCGGAAAGGGAACTTCTGATCTAAACAAGAGGCTGTTGATTCAGAGAAATCCAAAGCAAAGCAGTAACCATGACCATCTAAAATTTAGCAGTTAAGGAGAGCCAGAAAAAGGATGTGAAAGAAGGCATTTTTAAGCCTGGTCTTCTGAATATATTTTTCTGAGATTGCTTTAAAATGTTCAGAAACTTCAGTGGAAGCACAGAACACCAATATTATATTTTCTTCACTTCCTTACATATTGTATTTTTGAACTGCACTAACAAGAAAGGAAGGTCTCAAGAATGTAAAATGCCTGACTGCTACTTATATTTAGTGTAATTTGCTACCTTTGCAATTTTAGGTAGGGGCAATCTATTTAGTCCATTCAAGCAATAGCTAAAACAGTTTGGAAAACCCCAAAATGGAAAAGATTGTTGATGGGTTAATATAATAAATCATTAAAGAAAATAAGCTTCAAGTGTATCTGTGCCATTTATAATGCAGACGGTCATCTATCCTAAACGTTTTACAAGTATTCTTTAGATATGGAAGATGCAACTTGGTAAGTTAAAAGTTATGCAATTCATTATAAAAAGATACATATATTCCCAATTAAGAGGCCACAGAGATTTGCTAGGAAAGAAGAACTTGGGAAAATCCAGGCCATGCAAAGCAGCAACCAGGGCACAAGTGTCATGTGGACGTTCACTCCAAAGAGCACCGTTCTCCTCATTCGAGAACGAGCAATTGATGCAGCCAGCATAGCAAAAGCCACAGGAGTGAATCCTTCAGCATCCGTCATCTTCAACATGCCGGATGCCATAGTCCTGAGTACAAGGTAGAGTAGAGCTAAGGAAACCGCAAATGCCAGAGTGAGGAAGGAGTGCTTCACAGTCCCCACCATCTTCTCAAAGCTGCCAGCAAAGTACCAGATGATAACAGCACTGCATACCAAGGAGATTACATCCTCATAAACAAAGATGTAGGTCACCAATCTATAAACTGCAAAAAGAGCCAAGTTGGCAAATAAATAATAGACAAGAAGCTGACATTCTGAAATCATTCCTAATTTATTCATAGCTTTGGAAGAATGCTGCTAACTCCAAAGACAAGGGGAACTTAAAGGCTGGGATAGGGTTAAAGAGGGTGGAGAGCTGCATTAAATCAAAAGTCCAGAATCAGAAGAGTGTTGGGTTTAGAGAAGTATTTCTTTAATCTAATTTACATAGCCGCCCATCTCACCAGAAACTTCTCTGGGCAGTGTACAACAATCCAGAACAGTTTATAAATACATAAAACTACTTACCAGTTAATTATAAAAACATTTTTAAAATAAACCAAACAAAATAACAGATGGAGGGATGTTAATAATAGAGTTACCTCACAAGTTTACCCATCTTGTGGGGTCCCCAGGCTTTTTGACATTACCAGATCTTAAGGGATTCTCAGAAGCTCATGAGACCAATTCATCTCAGGTGGGAGAAGATTCCACAATGTGGGTGCCACCACAGAAAAGGGCCACTGCCTAGGTTGGTCTCCCTAGCTGATAGCACGTGTAAAGTATACCTTACAAAGCTTGTGATCTGGCCATTTTCTAACAAAGTGAATATGCCTGGTTTTGCAAGGTTGGAGAGAGGAGATGCAGACATATTAATTTGGTCAGCCTGAAGAAACAAATAAGTTTATTTGTTCTTCTGGATTTTTTTAATATTTGACAAAATTAGCAATAATTGTCTTTTGAATTGCCTAGAACGGGGGGGGGGGGGGAGAGCAGTATTTACTCTGAGATATTTCTAGTTCTTCCTAAAACTGTATACTCAGTAGTTTGCCTATTGCTTACAATAGCATTCCAATTTATTTAGCAAATGTATACACTGCCTATTCCCTTAACAATTTAGGGTGTCTCATAAAGATGCATGCAGTTGTAATGTATAAACATAACAGAAAAGTCAACAAAAATCAGTAAATATGCTTCTATGTTGCTTGTCTCCTGCATTTCGGCATGTAAAGACAAATCACTGGGAAAAATAATCTGAAGTATGTTATGTTTCTATCCATCAATAACATGCAGCTCTACCTGGGAAGTTCCTTAAATTTAAAATCAATGCATGAATAGGGAAGATAAGGGCTAAGAAACTGAAATTTGAAGAGGCAGTGTGCATCGCTGGATGCAGGCTGTCATAAATAGAATGTTTCTGAACAGAAGAGATCCTCAGTTAGACATTCAAATTATTATAAAAATATTAAAGGACCTAGAAAAATGGGGTTTCAGTACAGCTTTTGGCAAATCTAAGCAAATATTAATAGCATGTTTTTTGGGGGGGAAGGTGCTCTCTCTCATTTTTCAAAATATTGGGAGTGTAACATTTTACAGATAGCCTGCAAATAATCTAGACCAGTGGTTCTCAACCTGTGGGTCGGGACCCCATTTGGGGTCGAATGACCATTTCACGGGGGTCGCCAAACAACGCAGTCCGCCATTTTTTCCCCCTTTTCCTTAGCTGTGCTACTCCCTTTTATTCTATTGGCTTTTGAAAGCCAATAGAATAGACTCTCTTGAATAGAGTCTAATTCTATTGGCTTTCAAAAGCCAATAGGAATTGTCCAGGCTGTCTCTGCCCTGCTGAGCCCGCCAAAAGTCCCATTCTGCAAACGGTGCTGCACCAGTTGAGTAGTCCTCGACTTACGACCGGTTGAGTAGTCCTCGACTTACGACCAGTTGGGGGTCGCGGCATTAAAAAGGTTGAGAACCACTGATCTAGACCTACCTTCCATTCACTCCTGCTTTGCCAACCATCAAGAAACCTAAACTCAAAATGCAATAGAGAAGGAAGAACTCTGCTATGTAAGATTCCGCTGGAAGGCAGCTGCCTAGATGAATTTTATTAGCCCCAGGAAGAAGCAAGGAATGACTGTGGAAATTAAAGATGGAGACAGTCTAGCAGAGATTAGGGGAAAGGGCCAGATTGTCTTCTATGGAAGCCTTGAAGAAATCAGTCTGCTAGGATTTTTTTTTAATTTAATTTATAAAACTTACAGACCACCCATCTTACGTCAAGATAATTCTGGGCAGCTTTAATGCATAAATTAAATAAATGCTGAAAAGCAATAGAATGGCTCCTGTAACGGCCCCAGGACCTCTTTAAGTCCTTTCTAACATAAATCAGCCCGATGTCCTCCATGAAGTACGAAAAACAGAGCCTTCTCGTCTTTATCGTAAATGCTATGGTAGCCTGCTCCTTTCCATGGAAGATTCATTTCCATCTCCCTTGGATTTCACACTCTCCTCCCCCCCCCCCCAGCTTTCTGAAAAGACTCCACAGGGGTGAACGTAACAGCCACTACCCGAGGAAGGCAGGAAAAGAGGGATCATCCCTCGAGCTCACCCTGCCCTTCCCGCACCGCCGCCGGCCGCAGCAAAAACCCCGACAGAAAGTCGTCGGGCAGGCCATTACTTCTGCTCCGCTGCAACAGGCCCAGCCCGGAGACCAACAACGTGAGCAAAATCGTAAGGCAAGTAGCCACGGGAAACTTTTCCATGTTTTCCCGCCTTCACCCTACACACACACCCGATTTTCAGATCGTCCGGGTTACCAAGCCTCCCGAATTCAGCTTCCGGGTTAGGTCACAACCAATAGAGCCAAGAACTCAGACAGACAGGAAGACCCGCCTTTCCGCTGAACGAACTCTGCGTGCTTTGGCCAGGTGAGGTTGTATCCCCCCGCCTGTCCCTAAAACCAAAGCCTTTCTCCGTTGCCGTGGTAACCGAACATCCAAGGGTGTTCAAACTTGGCCTTTTTCTGACTTGTGGACTTTAACTCCCAGAATTCCTCAGCCAGCAAGCCTGGCTGAGGAATTCTGGGAGTTGAAGTCCACAAGTCATAAAAGGGCTAAGTTTGAAGACCCCTACCATAACCCGAAATGTTCTTTCAAATAATAACAGCTGCAGAAAGGAGGCGGAGCCAACTAAGCCTCCAAAGCACAGATAGAACGACTGCAGTGGAACCACCCATTTATGCTGGGTTGAACCTGAGCGGATTCCGTATGGGTAGTCCTTGACTTACATAGCTCATTTAGTGACTGTTCAAAGTTACAACAGCATTGGAAAAAGTAACTTATGATCATTTTTCACACTGACAACCGTGATCAAAATTCAGATGCTTGGCAAATGGTTCATACTTACAACCATTGCTGTGTCCCAAGGTCATGTGATCACTTTTTACAATCTGACAAGCAAAGTCAATGGGGAGGCCAGATTCACTTAATAACCATGTTACTAACTGATCAATTGTAGTGATTCACTTAACAACTGTGGCAAGAAAGAAAATGGGATAAAACTCACACAACAGAAATTTTGGGCTCAATTGGGTCATAAGGACTATCTTATTGTAGCAGTTCAAGGTACAGGCAAATAGCCAACAATTCTGGAAGCTAAAGTGAGAGAGTTCCTTGAGAGGCATGGCTATCTTAGTGTAATATGTACTGTATAATAATAAAATTCATCAACTGTAGCCTTTTTTTGCCATGACACCAATGTGGAAATGGTTTTATTATTGCCTTTTCTGGGATTTTAGATTTTTATTTCCCATATTAGTCTGAGATGTTCTGTCTGTCTTTTTTAAAGTGTTCATCACTGTATCCAGAGTTGCTTAGATGAAAATTAGGCTAAATGGCTTGGTACAACTGCTTATATTCCCATATGTTGCTTTGAGATTATAACAATGATACTATTTTAAACCTGTTTCCATTAATTGAGGTTTGTTTGCTTGTGTGCATTCAACTTAGTCTTAACTTCTGGCAACTACTTAGACAGATCACTGCAATTTTATTGGCATGGTTTTTCAAAACTGGTTTGTCATTTCTTCGTTTCTAGGGCAGAGAGAGAGTGACTGGCCCAAGATCACTTAACTGACTTTGGGCCTAAAGCAGGATTAGAACTCACAATCGCCTGGTTTCTTGTTTAGTGCCATAAGTACTACACCAAACTGGCTCTCTTAATGTTTACCAAATATATTTTGAAAAATAATCTGAAACTTCTATTTGAGTGGCCTGAATTAACTGAATTAAAATTCTATAATTCTGTGATTAGTATCTGAGCTGGCTGAGCTTTTAAGAACTGACCAGAACTGAAAAGAAGTACCAGGTAGATTCACAAACTGGTCAAACCATGTTGATGTTTGCTTGACTCAACTTAGTGTATTGGTGAATAAATCTGGTGTTCAAATAATTAAATGTCATAATTTAATGTTATATGTGAACAAAATATATCTCAAACCTTGGGCTGTTGCTTAAAATAATTTATTGGTTATGTATAGGGCAGCTGCAGGCAGATTGTAACTGCATATATATCTAAGCAGAGCCAAAGCTTCCAGTGATTTTCAGCTTTTCTAAGAGCCGTTGGATATAAATATGTTATATTTCTTTAGAAATGGCATCAGCTATGGTTATTCAATCTCTTGAACTGTGTCAAATATGTTGAAAATGTTCAATTTTTAAAAATGCTGAAGAACAGAAATAGACATAAAAATATTTACAGAACCTATAGACATTTATATTATTGAACTGTGCAAGAGATATACTTACAAATTATATTTTAACTAGTTTCTACATCAGACATGTCAAACACAAGGCCCGGGGGCTGGATGCGGTCCGCAAAGTGGTTTCATGTGGCCTGCAAAGCCATCCTGGAAACAGTGAGGGAACGGCCCCCGCTGCCTTGGCCCTGGCCCAGGCCGGCCGGGAGCCAATGTACAATTTTGTGGTGGCCATCTATGCTGAAATGCATTCAGTCTTAGCCCCACAAGGCTGTCTGGAAACAGCGAGGAACCAGCCCCTGGTGTGTTGGCCCCACCCCCTGGGTGCATGCTGGGGAGGTGTCACCCTTTGTGAGAAATGAAGAAATGGACCATGCCTTGACACTTGCCCTGGTCCCACCCCCTTCTGCCAGAGACCCTCAGATCTGTCTCACTCCTGCGCAGGCCCCCACAGGCACCTTTGACACGAACTGCCCACCCAGTAGGCCACACCCACTCCATCCACGCCCACCCAGTAGGCCTCACCTATCCTGGCCACATTCACCCAGCTCCCCGAGGGCAACCGCAATGCTGATGCGGCCCTCAATGAAATTGAGTTTGACACCTCTGTTCTACATGATATGAAAACTGTAACAATAGCTTTTATAGATTAAATATTGCAAATTAGGAAAAGCACTCACAACAGAAGACTTTAGGGGATGGTGCTTATCTCTGTTTCTAAGCAAGGGAGCCAGCATTGTCCAAAGATATTTCCATGGTGATGTGGCCAGCACGATTATACATGGAGGCGCACAGAATGCTGTTACCTTCCCATCAAAGTGGTACCTATTTATCTTCTCACATTTGTGTGCTGTCAAACTGTTAGGTGGGCAGTACTTGGGCAAGGACGGGAGCTCACTCCGTTGTGTAGCGCTTGGATCTGAGTGTAGAAACTTGGTTGACTTGGTAGGTAATTAGAAGTATCTAATTGGATTCTGCCCTTGCACCAGAATTAGTTTCAGACAGGGAACAAAATCTGCACAAACTCAGAGACTATCTGGGAAGCGGTTTCATTTCCCCAACTGTCTTGTAATTACTAGAAAAGAGAATCATCCCTGCAGTTGAGTTATATTTCTGAGATTCTCTTTCAGAGTGTTTAAGGACAATTTTATACCCCAGCTGTTTATAATGGATGGAGGTACACTTCTAAAGGACAGCAAAATAGGCTCTGGCCCTATATTTTTCAGCTTGATATGTAGAATTTCAGAAAAAAATAAACTCAATCTAGTTTTCTTTCAAGGCACCAAAACTAAATCAGAGAGCTTAAAAAAAAGATATTGGCACAACAGAAAAAGTTTTTATCCCTAGAATCTACAGAAAAATTGCATTATGTATTCATAAAACAAAGCAAATTCTTGAGAAAAAATCTGTTCATCTTCTTGCTTTACCAAGTGAGTATCCCTGCCAGATGGACTGGATGGTCATTTTGGTTGCATGAAACCACAATGTATTTCCACCTGCTGTCTTCTGCCTTGTACTTGCAATCTTTTCCATATTCCTGAGAAAGTCTGCAACTTGTCACACGAAATTTCATGGTACTCTTCTTATACTCCAAATTTTGAATCACGTATGGTTTCCCTATCACACAGGTGTGGTCAATAAGCTTCTCAGGGGCATGGATGAATGTGTTCAGCCGTTTGCATCCATTCCTAGTCAAAGCAATCCTTCTATTTTGCATCTCACGGTTGCATCTGTTGTGGTCTATGTTATCCAGAAATGTCATATGTTTCCTTTGAAAGGCTTGTGGGCTCTGAGAGCAAGAAATATTGATAACAGAGATGAAGAACAGAATCATCATAGATACTCCATTTGAAGCCATTTTCTTTGGTTGGATCTAAAGTTTTCAAAACAGTGAAACTTTAAAAAATACAAGGCAAATTTACATGTTGACCTGATTACCTATTTATTCCTATTTTCCAGATAGTTATCATTTAGAGTTCCATACATTTGTAGGAAACGTCACAGGAAGGAATTACACTTCATACCGAGCTTTACTGAAGTGAATTACACTTCATACTGAAGCTTTACATTAAACTGCTTTAAAATGAACACATATATCACATACAATTCTTTAACTTAGGAAGTGGCTCTTTGGTTCTGCATACACTCTTATTCAAATTTAGAACTTACTACTATTCAGAATTTGAATTAAATTTACATTAAATTGATTTTACATTGGAAAAGGAAGAAGTAACACGCAAAAGAAATCTGAGAAAATGCCATCTGATTAAATATCTTTACACTACTTCAATTCATTATACTTGTTCATATCTTCAAACCTTGTTTCTGTCATGTCTTAATCCAAGACTCAAACTACTGTCACTTAGAATCCCGATCTTGTACTTTCTTGACCAGCCTGAATCAACCAAGTGAATAATTTTATCTTGGAGAAAATAATTTAATCATGCCCTCAAATAGCTTACTAGGGCAACCTTAAATTTATAGTACTATAATCAAAAATCTACAACAGTGTAGTATTGTAATTATGCCTCTACCAATAAGTAAAATGCTTCTAGCATTTGAAAGGGTTCAATAGTCGTGGCATGTTGAACATCGGAAAATAAAAACATATTGGCTAGAAAAATATTCACTGAATTTACATTGAAAAAGAGATAATACATAAAAGAAATCTGAGAAAAGGACATCTAACTAAAAATATTATTTTAGTTAGTTAGACAAAAATATTCACTGAATATTTTTCATTGCGATCCTGAATGACTCTAGGATACACATCCACATTTTATTGCAGGATCTTCTTGTTCTGATAGAATGTGAGTCGTCATAGCTGTGAGGACTTTTGTTTCAAAAACAGAAAGAAGAAAATGCCACTGACAGAAAAAGAAAAATGGGTCCCACTATATTTTGAGAAAACATTTTACCGTCTTTTAGATCAGATTAATTCATCTGATATTGACTCTATCAGCTGTTTATCATTTAATTTTGAATAAAATTGTACTTACAATTTTACTTTCTCCAGTGGCAGATCCTGACTTAGCACCAACTTTCACTGTCTCTTGGTCTACTGATCTAGAATAGTCTGCTGACAAAGAATAGCTACGCCCCAGCTTAAATTTGTTTTT